CTTAACCTCAGTCCACCAACTAGTTAACGTCGAACATTTTTTACAACTTTTATATTGGGTATGAGATAGTTTAATCGGACAAGTACCCCCCTAATACTATAACTGTTTCATACTCACAATAAAATTTAGAAAAAAATCTCATACCCAGTCTCATAACCATTTACCCGACCCAAACTCATTAACTAAATAAATTTATATTTTGGTTATTCTATTTGAACTATTCGGTTTGATTAGCCTAATAAATTCGATTTGACCGGTTCAGTTATTTTCTTCTAATTCAGGTTCTAATCTGAATAAGACATTGATTAATAGGGAACTTGATATAAAAGTCATTAAGTTTGGTAAGTTTTATCGTTTTGTCTCTGTGACGATTTTTTGTTCGTTAATTCCCAAAGTTTTCTAGCCATTCAAAAACAAAATCCCAAAGTTTTCTAATTTTTTTTTTCCAGTTTGCCCTTGTTTCCTGTAATATGAGGTTTCTAGGGACAAAACCGACAAAATTTGACGAATATAAGGGTTCATATCAATAGATAGGTTCAAATGTTTCTCACAACTATTATGTTCCCGAATGCACCAATCAGAAATGAACAAATAATTAAATAATTAATTAAATTAATAAGGGTAAATAAGTAATATTACATATACGTATTAATTAATATCCAAAATTAACAATTGATACTCTTTTATTTAAGGGATCAGTTTTTATTTACATATTAAAACCTTACACCATCGTTTTTTCCAGAGCCGTACATCACCATCACCTTCGGCCACATCCTCATTCTATCGTCGGCCAAAAAAACTCAGTGCCCTCTTCACCACTGGTGCTACACCACCCGCCGCCGTTTCCCTGTTATTTCGGCGTCGACATGGGGCGTTGAGGGGACAAAGTGGGCAGTTGCACATGACCAAATTTTTTTATTATATATATTTATTTAAAAAAAATTATAATAACGATAGGAGCCCTTTTTTTCCTGGCTCGTCTTGGGCCTTTGATGATATTTAATTTATCGCCTTGGGTGTCGATCCTATTCAAAAATTAATCCTCTTATTTCTACTGGTGCAATTAACTTTCGATTGAAACAAAAATTAATCCTCTTCTTCATTTTTTGATTTTATACAATCTATCGTAAGATGAAAGAGAAATGAAGTCGTCCATGGATTTGTTTAGAAATTGCATAGATAAAGGAGAAGTGTTATGTCATTTGTTCTTGAAGGTAATTTTAATTTTCTATTTTACAATTGATTAAATTTAATGTTTTAAGGAACCCAGTGGGGCTGGAGAATTCAAGTTGGATTGTCATGATTAAATTACTATTTATATATTGATTAGATTATTGTTTAAAAGCACCTTATCTTTCTCCATGTATATGTATTTTTGTTTGATTGTCATCATTTGTTTTTCCAAAGTATATAGATAATGGTTTATTCGGATTATGCAAAATTTGAAAGAACAATATTTAATCATTTGAATGTAGTAATCAATTTGTGTACTGCGTAATAGATGAAAAACAAAAAATATTAAACCATATTATAATTGATGGAGTCTATAATAAAATAAAAAAGTTACCATTAATCTTAACAATAATATTCTTTTAGAATGGATTATTATTATTTTATTTATTATTATTATTTTTTTTGGTTTTAAAGAGGCTACCAATAATGTGGAAAAGAAAAACATACAGATCGAGAGTGTATTATGTCAGAATGTATATAATAATTTTTAGTAATAATATTATTTCAGAATGAATTATAGTTTTTATTATAATGGATTGCGGTTTTCAAGAAAAAAAACCTTATTTTCGATTGCTATTAAAATAAAATTTATCGGTATTAGCTCATCTCCTAATACAATTTCATGAAATGTGTTACTTCAATATGGTTTTCAAAACCATTATGAGAGAATATTTATAGTATCATTATTGCAGAATAAACATGTTTTTTTGATAGCTATTAGACTCTAAGTAATATTCTGTTAGAATAAAGTATACGTATTCTTATAGAATATTTGTTTGTTTTCTTATAAAGTATATGTACTCTTAGAACACACTGAATTTTTTTAATATTTGAAAATTGATTATGTTTTCTTTGTGAGTTTAGGTTTTGAAAATATTGCCGTTGATGTGGAAAAGGATGAAAACATGGAAAACGAGAGTGTATTCTAGCAGAATGTATTCTGCCATAATGTATAAAGGGTTTCTTAACAATAATATTATTTCAGAATGGATTAATATTTTTATTAGTTTTTTGTTTTTGTTTTTGTTTTTTGTTTTTTTTTTTTTGTTTTTGTTTTTTTAAACCAACTTTAGTTTTAATCTTTAAGAATAAATGTAATTCTTAAACCATTATTAGTCATATTTTTTTTAGAATGAATGTAATAATTGTTTATGGTCTTATTCTTTACGAATGAATGTAATTAGTGATTCTTAAAGAATAAAATCCGTATTCTTTAGAAAATGTTATTTTTGATAATATGTTGTATAATTCATTAAGCATGTTTATTATAAAAAAATATTTTGAATGGAATCATATTCTGCAAGAATAAAATCGAAAATATATTTACTAGTTAATGGTTGATTTTCTGTCATTCTGACAGAATAAAATCGATTATTATTAAAAATTATATTAAAATTTAATTTTAATTAATTTAAAAACTTTAGATTTTTAAAAATAAGGGAATTAATGATCCCTTAAAATTTGAATTTTTTTTTAATATAGGTTAATTGACCAAAATACCATTATGCTGAAATTTATGTGATTATATGATATATATATGTTACCCTATTGTAATATTATAGACCCCCCAGATCAATAACTATTGATTCTATTCATCCGTTGGTCTAGAATTGTCCTTAGAAACACATAATAGATGTAAGAAACACATGAACCTAAACGTTTATGTCACGTTAGAAAAACATAATTATGGTAAAAACATACAAGATTTGTAAATTAAGGGTTTTTTTTTTTTTTTTTTTTTAGCAAATTTTAAAAACATATTTAGGATAAAAACTTACAAGATTTGTAATAAGGGCAAAAATGATTTATTTTATTTATATTATTATTATTTGTTTTTGTTAACTTTGGATATTAACGAATAAAAAATCGTCACTGGAACAAAACTGACAAAATTTATCAAACTTAAAGAGTTTAATGTCAAAAGCGTTGATTAATATTATTAAAGTTTGTTTTTATTGGTAGTATGTATGTATGAGTAAGTATTAATAAACTTTAGGCGTATATTTTACATGTGTTTAGTTACAGGAAAATGAATTGTTTTTCAGAAAACGAGAATTTTTGGTATTCCAAATTTACAAAGAATTTAGAAAACTGATTATTATTGTTTTCCACGTTTTTCAAATTACAAAAGTATCTAAAATATAAATACACATAACCATCCTATTCCCCACCCACACCCACACCCATCCCCATCCCACTCCTACTCCTACTCCCACCCCCACACCCAACACCTATACCCTTTCACACCCACACCCCTACATACCTATCCATACCTAACACTCATACTTCCATATACCCACCTCACACGACAGTCACACCCAATACAATACTCATACCCCCGTACACCCACCCCTATATATTCTTAAGTGGAAAGTTATTATAATCTTATAAAAATGAATTGAAGATTCTTAAAATCTTATATACTAGTTGTGAGACCCATGTATTACATGTGTTAATCTAAAAAAAAAGTTAAATATAAAGGTCAAAATATTTTAGAATTTTGAATTTATAAGAAAATAAGAAAAATAATAAATTATTATAATAGAAATGTTTTTATCTTTTAAATTTAAACAAATAATTTAAATAAATAAAAGAAACTAATAAGCTTTAATTTTAAGAATTTTGAAATTAAAAGGTAAGTTCATTAATAAAATTGGTATCCATTTATTACTATTATTGCAATTATTATATTAAAATATTATGTACAATTTAATAAAATAGAAAAACTCATAAAATGACATGTGGAAAAAAAAATTCAAAGTAACCACAAAATGATATTTGACAAATTAAATGAGAATGTGACAAGTGGCAAAAAAAAAAAAAAAAATTCATTTATTAGAAAACTTAAGTGGAAGGTTATTATAATCTTCTACATTATTTTACATATTGAAACGTAGGATATCTTACATTCTTACCTATTCTTAAATGAAAGATTCTTATGATCTTCTACATTATTTTACATATTAAAAGTTAAAACGTAGGATATCTTACGTATTCTTAAATGCAAGATTCTTATAATTTTCTACATTGTTACATATTAACGTTTTAGGATGAACAAAGCTCTATCTTTGTTTTCTAGTTTGTGAATTAAAAATATATTTGGTCTAAAACATACAAATCTTTATTTGAAATCATATATATTTATGTATTTGAAAAAACCGATTAAACCGGACCAAATTGGTAAATTACTAAAAACTAATTAATTAAACCAATTAAAATGACCGAATAACTAAATTCGAAATCATATATATTCCTATAGCAATTGCAACATTCATAAATTTTATCATATAACTTTGAAGTAATATAGATCACTACTAATAATGATATTTGAGTTGTCTATTATCATATCATTATTTTTCTTTATTAATGTCAGTATATATGAAATTAATTAATTTGCTTGTTATATCATTTCACTATTTATGGATAGTTCTTTTATTTGGAGTTTATATATTCTGTACCAAACCAATGTAATAAACCAGGATAATACAAATATAAATTGCCAATTAAGTAATTTTTGCTCCACAAAATTATGCGGGACCACTCAATTATTCATTTCGATTTAATGCTATCAGAAAATTCAATGTGGGGTTATTCAATTATTCACCTATGGTTTGTCTTTTAGTCTGGTTTTAAGTCGATAAAAACTATGTGCTCCACACAAATTACATATTATTATAATTTGCAAGTTGACAGTGGACATTATATAAACCTTCCCTAGGTGCATCTTCATTTCTGCATCACTTCAAACAAAATTCAGCAAAATCTTGATGAAACATGACCACCAAGATTTGCATCTATATTATGCACCGTTGTGTTTATATAAAATTTTCAGTTCTGTTGCTATACATCTTGACCTTTCAACTGCCAACCAACCGGTAGCAGTAAGAGGAGGATTAGAAGATGCGAAGGGTGTTATCAACAAGTGTTCCGGTAAGGAAACACATACTCTACTTGATTTCAAATTCCGACTTCATAACCACATGGTCTTCTCTTCGCATGGAGAGCTGAAAAAGAAGATGATTGCTGTAAATGGATTGGACTCACGTGCAGCAACCAAATGTTTTACAGCGTTTAAACTTCTTTTTGGTGGTGTCGGAGGTGAGATTAGTCATTCATTGCTCAACTTAAGCTGCTTGACTCATCTTAACCTCAAGGTCTTAGTAGAGTTGAAAACCTAGAGTGGTTGTCTCATCTATCTCATTTTCAACAACTTGATGAGATTTCCCTAGCCAAAGCAAATCATTGGGTAAATCTGATGTTTTAGTTTGAAAAAACTTGACCAGATCTACTTTAATGAGATTCTCAAGAACTGTTGGACTATCCGTATTTGAGTTCCAACAGCTTTTATGGTCCAATACCGAATCTTCTTTCCACTTTGACATTATTAAATATCTCCATAAACAAATTTTATGGAGGAATCTCCTTTTTATGCCACTATATCAAGGGATTCTTAAAAATTATTGACCTCTCCCATAACTTTCTAATCTATCATTTTTTAGACTGTTTGTGGCATTTCAAAAAACCAAAATGACTTAATCTAAGACACAAAAATCATTTTGGAAGACTGTTTGTGGCATTTCAAAAAACCAAAATTACTTAATCTAAGACACAAAAATCATTTTGGAAGACTTCTAGTTTGGATTGAATTTTTGATCAAACTCAATGTGTTGTATTTATACAAGAAGAACTTCTTTGGAGAATCCCTTTGTATTCAATCTTTTAAGACGAGTTTAAGTGAAGGTGGTGGTGCTCATTGGAAATCTGTAAAGGATTCCACATATGTAGTTGTGTATTTCTACTTCGTTTTTATTACATATGTATTTCTACTTCGTTTTTACTACATATATAGTTGTGTATTTCTGCTTCTTTTTTAGTTATTGTTTTTTCTAGTATGTATTTTGTTTTGAACAAACATATTCCTCTATCTTATTAATGGTAGGGGTATAGTAATGTAAGACCATACTTCACTTGTATTTGCAAAGGATTCCAAACATATCCCACCTTGCGTTCAATAAGACATCATGGAAAGTTTCATATTTTTGTATCTTATAGATATGAGATCAAAATATAATTAATGTCGTATTTTTATTTTTCTATTACAGTTCTCATTGCAGATTATTTTTGAAATTAGTGCTTGAAAAATGATGCATCCATGTTATCACTATGCTTTCATTTGTAGGTTATTTTCAAAATTGGAAGATACCTTCAACATATTGTGTAGTCTATAATGACCCACAATCCATTAACTGAATAATTCTATAATTGGGATTTTCAATTGATACTATATTTGTAAAGGCAAGATTTTGGTGCTAAATAAAGAATAATACGTGTATCTATGTGTGGGTATGATTGTGTTGTTTAATTGGTTTAAAGTTAGACAGTTAGTACCATTGTTTTACACCTCGGGTCGAATCGGTTGGATCATGACTCGGTGAAGAGATTGGGCCAACTAAGAATGAGTTTTTGCATATTTATGACTTGGGTTCACCCGCCGGGTTTTTACCAAAAAACAGATTGAACCGGTGACCATTGACCATTGACGCGGATTGACATGTCGGGTTTTACAAAAAAAGGGTTTTCAACATGGATTTAACTTATTTTAATTCTCAATTTAATATTTGTTATCAACTCATTTTGGATTTCTTTTTCTTATATGTTGAGGAGGCACATTCGGTACATGTGTCAACTAATTAACCTAAAAATATAATTAGAGATCGTGAAGGAAAAATCAAAAACCAGTCTCTTTGTATGAATATCACTAGGTTATAACTCATGTACTACACGGTTAACAAATTAAAATAACGTAGATAATAAATAAAACATAGTCATTAATCACATGCACACATCTCTAGTAATATTTTTTTTGCATCCATGACTCTATTTGAGATAATAACACATTTTTTTTTAAATGCAACAACTGGACAACCAGAAATTGCATATGATATAATTTACATAAGTATTATACTTTGAAAGTACATTGGTATAACCTCGGTGACTTTTCTTTATTTTACATACAAATAGCCACACATAGACAAGCACGGGGAAACATACATATACATACATATAGATAAAGAAACCGTTTGAACAAAAGTACCTTGTTCTTTCTTGCATTTAACTTTAACCCTATATTACATGCAATAAGTAGAATGCTATTTCTTGAATTAATAAGAACTGAAAGTAGAATGTTGTAATAAACAAACGAATGAAAGTACATTGCTATTTCTTGCATTAAATTCTATATGACATGAAATATGAAGTAAAATGCCATTTATTGCTATAATTGGATGAAATAGAAAGTAAAATGCTCTAAAATGTTATTTCTTGCTATACTGAGAAGAAATGAAAGTAGAATGCTATAATAAACAAATAAATGAAAATGCATTGCTATTTCTTGCATTTAAAGTAGATATTTAGTAATGAAAATTAAGGATTTATATAATGATATTCTTCCAACTTGTTTTTAACATATTCAAATATTTTTTGAGTAAAATCATCCCATAAAGTAACATTTATTTTAAGGTCCCTGTAAAAAAATACTAAAGAAATGAACTTTTAATTATTCAAATAAATGTGAAAATGTAATAAACAAAAATGTACTACTGGGTGGATTTTTCAAAATACAATGCCTAAATAAAATAATGGAAGTACAATGCTATATAGAAAAAATTGGCAATACAATGTTATAAATGAGTAGATTTTTCAAAGCGCAACGCCTTAATAAGAAAAAAGAAAATTTAAAGTACATTGCTATAGCGGATAGGTTATTAATAGAGAAGTGCCTTAAAATTAGGGGCGTTAAAACAAGTTATCCGAAAATTCGGTTACCGAATCGAATATCCCAATTTTTTTTGCACCATACTAAAATAAAAAAAATTAACATACAAACTACAAAACTACAATATTTTTGATGTTTATAAAACCTAATCGAATATCAGTTGTATTTACTTGATAAATGAACAATGTTACATATTTATTGTGGATTAGAAAAAATGATTAAAACACTTAGATTTTGTTAAAATTTAGACATCCATGATATATATGTATCTGTTCCATGTAAAACCAAATTAAAGTAAATATATAATTAGATTAAAAAACAAATATGTATTCCTAAACCTATCATGTTCACATACACAACCAAATTAAAGTAAATATATATAATTAGATTAAAAAACAAATATGTATTCCTAAACCTATCATGTTCATATACACGCTAAACTACAATAGAATCCTTGCTGAAACATTGTTGCCCGATGGAAACTAAGAAAGTGTAAGAACATGTCTGCCAAAATATAAAGTAATCTATATAGAAATGTATGTAAAACTAAATTAGAGTAAATATATAATTAGATGTAATATATGTAGTTGATTTTATTTCCAACTGTAGAAATTTTACGGAAAAAAAACTTGAATCCTTGGAAGAAGGAATAAAAGTTGGCATACAAAATGCTAAAAACAAATGAAAAATATGAGGTTTAAGATATAAATCCTATGGAAAATTTGTTCGAATTCAAATCCCCAAACACCAAACTCCAAAAGAGATATGCATTAAAATAATAAAAAATTATTAACATCATAACTCAGAAAATTCATTGAATTATAAATAAATAAATAAATAAATAAATAAATAAAAATTCATGTGTCTGTTGTTGCTAACAGTAAAATATTTTCTCATTTTGATTAATCATGACATTATCCAAAGGACAATATCAATACTATGTTTCCTATAATGCTTATGACTAACATTACTATTTTGAACATCTTGATCACTCAATCTCACATGGTTTCCTTCTCCCAACAATGTTGCAAATAAATAAACAAAAGTAGATTTCTGTTTTTATGCATTTAGCCTAACCTTAAAATGGTTCAATGCAATAAATAACAACATACTTTCAGTTAATTAGATTATTATAGTATTCTACCTTCACTTATTTTATTTTTTATACACCTTCTGATGATACTATGTTACTCTTAAACACACAAACATACAACACACATCACACATAAATAAAAGTGTGTTGTTATTTTTTGCATTTAGCACAAAAAAATAGCAATGTTTTTTCGTTTATTTATTTTTTATTATAGCATCACATTCTCATTTATTACATGGTTAAATGTCTAAAATACTCTTCAATAATAATAAAGAATAACTGGTTTTTGTAATCTTTCTTACCCTTGAAGTATCATACTGATGACGAGAGCTAATTATAATATGATTGTGAATTGATCTCCTCCACCAATTTCATGCTGTACATTCCAGTAATAGGGGATAGTCATTTAAGGAGTATTATAATTTCCATATTGTAATTGTAATTCCCTGTATATATTCTTGCAATACCCTCATGAAATGATACACAGAAAATTGATCTTGCATCTTGAACCAGTTCTTTATGGTATCAGAGCAGGACCACACTAAAACACTACAAACTTAGTAGCCTAATCGAATTAGGTCTATTTCATGGCGGAAAAAGATCCTCATGTCATTGTTCAGAACGTACAGGATGCTCCATTCCCCACCGGAATCATCCTCGATGATTCGAATTACCCTCTATGGTCTCAGTTGATGGAGATGCGCATCAGAGCAAGGAGCAAATCTGGATTTCTCACTGGGAAGAGTCTGAAACCCACGGATGAAAACTGCTAGAAAACTGGCTTATCGATAAAAATTGTGTCAAAAGTTGGCTTATCGATTTGATGACCCCTCCTTGATTCAACGATTCATTCGGCTCCAAACGGCGAAAGAGATTTGGGAAGCCGTTGCAAAAACCTTCTACGATGGTTCTGATGAAACTCAACTTTTCGAGCTAAACCGAAGATCGTTCACGACTCGCCAAAACAGTAGACCTTTGCCCACCTATTACAACGAACTAGTCAGCATATTTCAAGAAATTGATACTCGAATTACAACCGAGGAAGAAAGTGTGGCACAAATTGTATCTAGGTAATAAAATTCTGGCCCGCCTTCGTGTTCACATATTTCTCGCTGGGCTCGATCCCGAGTTCAATCATGTCAGAAGTGAAATCCTGCGAAAAGACCCTCCTCTCGACCTTGAATCTTGCTATGCCTCTGTTCGAAGAGACCAAAACCAAAGAAACACCATGGAAGAACCGAAAGTGGAAGCTGATGGAATGGTACACTTGGCTGCTAGGAACCGAGTTTAGAAAGGAAAAAGTTCAAACA